ACATGTAATCTGTTACTCCCAACACTGCACATATATTGGTGTATCTTTATTCAATATCACTGTGTAACATTCCAGACAAAGCAATAAAATCTCCATGGAAACAAAAGTGACGTACCCTCCACGAGAAAAGCTACAGAGTGCAACTTTCTTACGCAAAACTGACTCTTGTGAGGTTTATGTCGTGTTGTAATGTTGTTACCTCATCAAAAACAGAGCTGGAGTTGTGTTTTGTTTCATTCACACGTCTGAGTAACTCTTTATTTTTCGACTGTCTACATTTCGAAAGCTCAAAATGCTCTGTCCCACCTTGTGATGTCATGAAGCGGTAGTTTTCAAGCTACTTTTTACCTTTTTATTGTTCAACAGAGACCACCTAGTGCCTCCGCTCAGTTTCATTTCTCTCCAGCGACTAAGGCTACGTTCAGACTGCAAGGATTAACGCTCAATTCGGATTTTTTTGTGAAATCCGATGTTTTTTCGAGGTCGTTCACATTTCCAATTAAATGCGACTTGTATGTGACTCCAGTGTGAACATTAAATGGCCCAAAAGTGTCCCACATGTGACACTGGAGACACGACGACGTCAACCGCAGCGAGCGTCTCTGTGTTTACAGAAGTTGTCCAAACATGGACGCAGCATCGAGCACCTGGAGATTTTAAAGTTCCTCTCGTACCGGAGCCAGAACATGAACAACTTACTTGTTTTAAGGAGGAGATTGAGAAGGAGAAGGACGAGGTTTTTGGCCGTGGTGTTTTGTGGGGCAGCGGCAGCGACGTCCGTTGAAAGGAACGTGTGGATGTGGAGACGGAGCCAAGAGTGGTGAGTGGTGATGTGCTTCACTTCAGTGACACGGAGTTTCAATTTTCGCCTACTTCAGCGCAGAATAGTGACGTTTGTGTCTTGTTGATAACGTGTAGGTGGATGAATGCGCTTTGGCCGTTCAGACTGAAGTCGCATGTCAAAAGATCAGATATGTATCAGTTTCAGGAGCACATATCCAAGTGTCCTGGGTCACATTTGAAAAAATTGGATCTGTGTTGTTCAGACTGACATTAAAAGATCAGATACAGGAACATAGGGGCCAAAAAATCGGACTTGGGTCACTTCAGGCTGCAGTCTGAACGCAGCCTTTGTCAGGAATCAGAATACACTAGACGGTTTGCAAAACTCCCGGAAATTGTAGTGAAGAGCGGTGAAGTTATGATGTCAAACTCTTTGCGTCTGTCTGTGTCCCTTTTGTGGAACAGCACAACAGTAAACAAAGCGTCGAGATGGACGTAGACGAAGACAGACATTCTGTGTTGGCAACGATTCCCGAGATCGAGGATTTGAAGCCGGAACAAAGGGCTACACTTATACTAGCCTGATTCATCAGCCGGTTTCACTTCGTGGAAACCATTTGACCTCGCAGCATTAGGATTCGTTCGCTCGACGGTAGGCGGGTACTTTTTTTACTTAACCAATCGCTGCTATTTGGTCGTAACGTATGTAATGCATCAAATCCCGTAGGAAGAAGGACAATAAAGTCTTTCCCTTTGATAAAATTCACCAAACATTCTCTTTGTTCTGTATGGAGTAAGAAAGGTTTCAAAAATATTTGTGCACATAGAATAGAAATCCGTGCATATTTGGCTGTAGTTTCGCATAAAATAATTTGTAAACTCTCAAATGAGTCCAGTCGTACATTAAAATATATTGTGTGTATTTTATCCATCAGAATATGAACTGAAAAGTTACGACGTCAAGAATTACAACCACGAAATGAAAATTTACGATTACACTTTCATCAGTACAAATACGAATTCAGGCACGACTTTACTGTCAAAAATACATCATCACTTCACAGACATTATTTATCGAGCAGAAGAAACATCGATCGAGATCAAGACTGTGCATGTTTAAGTTTGCAGCAGAGTAAAAACAGAGAAATGACACAACAAGAAGCTGAAACAGCGAACCAAATGCTGCTGTGTAATATTGTGTAGAAATACCTCCTCTGAACAGGAAACTGCACCGATATCTTAGTAGAAACAGAGTGGAGCCAGTTGGCAACATCAGACGTAACATTATCCCAGGGCTAATTAGTAAATATCAGGTTCTCTGCATGTTTAGATTAAAACATTCACGGCTACAGCCACAGTGAGCATCAGTCAGTCTGAACCTTCATCTCAGCTGCATTTCTCACATGACATGTGACCAAAAGTTCCTCTGGACGCTGAAATGTCCCAGTTTACACCAAACACGACCAAACTGTCCTGGTTACGACGTCACAGCCAATGAAATGTTACACATTACAGTTTAATGCAGCTTCCAGCATCAATTAATGTTCATGTTTACAGGCAACACCTTGGTATGTTTACAGTATTTACCGGTAAGTTTAACGTCACCGTGTTGTGGATGGATTTCCTAGTTGGGCCTGGTCAAGCAGAAGTAAACAACAAGGCCAAAAATTCAAGTTAATTCATCTGATATAAAAATGTATTGAACAGATACATATGTCTCTAGTTTATGAAACTGTTGACCTTTTTTCTGTACCATTTTTGGTTCTAAAGTTCCATACGTTTTAAACAGACCATGTATGAAACATGGAACAAAAATTATTTCCCAAATTTCAAAGACCCAAAAATCATGTAAATAAATGGATGTATTTCATCATATCTTGTGTTATTCCATCTTTGAACTGTTGATGAAGGTACATGATTTTTTTTTTTTTTTAAACTGATAAAAATTTGCTTGGAAGGACTGACATATTTTATAGAAATAGTTTCCTTTCATTTTGAAGTAATATTAAAGTATTTGGAAGAAAAAAGTGACAAATTATGCAAAATCCTGCACCTTCTACTTGTTTGCACAATTTTCCCTCCGTTACTTTTCCCTCCGTTACCATGAACTTTCTTAATAAAAAATCTCATTTCTCAAAAAGTACATTTTTTTCAACCTAATCTTGTACCATATGGTAGAAAACTATATGAAGCAAATATTCAAACCAGTTTGTTAAGGATATGTAAGTGAGAACCAAGAGTTATCACTGTTTGGATTTATTGCCCAAAAAGTGCTGCATATTTCATTCCCTCCGTTACCGACATGAGTTTTTTTGTCAACAACTTGAAAGAATATCACAGGTTTAACTTGACCCTGTTGGAGTGTAACTCTTTCCTACATTCTGATACTTTACTTATTTCAATAGTTCCTCTAGTTTCTGAATAAGAGACATTTGAATGTCAAAAAATCTGACCCTGTTTCCCTCCGTTACTGCTTGACCAGACCCAGTTATAACCCAATATAACTCATATATAACCCATTATAACTCATATATAACCCATTATAACTCATATATAACCCATTATAACTCATATATAACCATTATAACTCATATATAACCCATTATAACTCATATATAACCCATTATAACTCATATATAACCCATTATAACTCATATATAACCCATTATAACTCATATATAACCCATTATAACTCATATATAACCCATTATAACTCATATATAACCCATTATAACTCATATATAACCCATTATAACTCATATATAACCCATTATAACTCATATATAACCCATTGTCTGTAACCAGGACAGTTTGGTCGTCGTGAATGTTTTAATCTAAACATCGTCGTTGGAATCGTTGCCAACACAGAATGTCTGTCTCTTCGCTGATTGGCCGGTTCGTGATCTACAACCTCCGGGGTTCTTGTTCCTGACCTAGTTGCTGGAAGAAAATGAAATTGAGCGGAGGCACTAGGTGGCGCCAGTCTGACTATCACAAAACTGCTCTAAGGTTCATATTTGTAGCCTGTATTTATTTTGAATTTGAAAGTTTTGCGTAAATTATCAATAACAAAGTGTTTTGTTTTTTTTCTTTTTCCCGTTTTTTGTTTTTTGTTTTTTTAAGTTGTTTAAATTGAGAACTATTTACATTGTAAACCAGCCTTGAATATTATACGTCTTTATGTAATTTGTCTGTTACATTTTGAGAAAGCATCAATAAATCATACATTCATTTTTTTTTTTTTTTTTTAAATAACAAGTGTTAAATAAATAAGTGTTTTTTTAAGAGGGAAATGCTAAATAAACGCATTGTGTAAATCGTGATTTCAGTATTGACCAAAACAATCGTGATGATGATATTTTCCATAATCGAGCAGCTCTGTTCTGTATAACCATCACCAGTGTTGGGAGTGTTACTTTTAAAATGTAATCCCCTACAGATTACAGATTACATACCCCAAAATGTAGTTTGTAACATAATCCATTAAATTACTTCAAGTGAGTAATGTAATCTGAATACTTTGGATTACTTGATAAAATGTTTTGTTTGCTAAAAGAAAATAAAAAGCCCAGACTTTACTTAACCGTATTAAAAATATTATTGATAGAAGACGAGGAAACACGTCCACACAGCATGATTTAGTCCTGTTTTAATCCTGGTTTACACCTGGTTTTAGACCTGGTTTAGTCCTGGTTTAGATCTAGTTTAGACCTGGTTTAGACCTTGGTTTAGATCTAGTTTAGTCCTGGTTTAGATCTAGTTTAGTCCTGGTTTAGATCTAGTTTAGTCCTGTTTTAGACCTGGTTTAGATCTAGTTTTGACCTGGTTTAGTTTAGACCTGTTTAGACCTGGTTTAGATCTAGTTTAGTCCTGGTTTAGATCTAGTTTAGACCTGGTTTAGATCTAGTTTTGACCTGGTTTAGATCTAGTTTAGACCTGGTTTAGATCTAGTTTAGACCTGGTTTAGTTTCCAGCAATGAGTGGAATTACCAAATTAATTAATTAATTAATTAATTTAAAAATTACGTTAATTTTGTACTCTGATCACGTTACTCCGGTACATGTAATCTGTTACTCCCCAACACTGACCATATGACGTCACAAGGTGCAACGGTTTGAAAGAAGAACTCTGCAGGGTTATAACTTCATATTTGCACTTGTCTGATCTTAACTCGAGCCTCACGTGAACAAAAATAAAGTTTTTAAATGAAACTTACGATTGCGTTTTCATGGACTCCGCCCGCTCCAGATAATTACTCGGTACGATCCCGGTACCGAGCACGCGACCGTTGGTATCGATCCTCCGCGCCTTCCACCAGTCCCCGTCACGGCTCACCACGTTGAACAAGTCCCCCTCCCGGAACGACATCTCCTCCACGCTGCGCGCCTCGAAAGCCCACAGAGCCACGTACATGCACCCGGGCTCGGAGGGCCTGTCCCCCGGGGGCGGCGGCGGTGTCCCTTCGCCTTTCTCCCCGGCGTCGCCTCCTCCGCGCGGCGCAGCTCCATCCGCGGGCTTCTCCCCCTGGATCCGTTTCCATAGCGAGACCAGACAGGGGCAGAAGCGTTGCATGCAGTCGCCCATGGGAAACCCGCGCGTAAAGCTTCGTGCGTAAAACCTGCCGTGCGTAAAACCTGCCGTGCGTAAAAGCTGCCGCGCGTAAAAACCGGTGCCTTCCCGGAGCTGTGCGCGCTCGCTTCACCTGTCCGACGGGGTAGAGAGCGGCGTAACGAGCAGCTGAGCGCGAGGAATGACGGGAATGCGCCAGTTCTTGAGGCTGAAGCGTAAAGAGCGCGCGAGAGGCGGGAGCATACGTGACCGTGGAGGCTGATTAGAGGAAGGAACCATAAACGGCTTTACTGCCCGTTCAGATCGTGCCGGATTACGCCGCGTCCCACCCTCAGACCATTGTGTTTTGATGAAGCAGCTATTTAGACCTTTTCTTTCTGCATTCCTGCTGATCCCACACTGCAAATACGTTTATTAAAGCTCCTACATCACGCACAATTGACTCTTTAAGCTTTAAGACACGTTATAAAAGGGTTACGTCATTAAAAACAGATATGGAGTCGTGTTTTGTTGCATTCACACGTGTCTGAGTAAATCCTGAATGCTTTATTGTTAGTCTGCATACATCTCCAAAGCTCCAAAGTCCACCTTGTGATGTCATGAAGTGGTAGTTTTGAAGTTGTCAACTCTTTTTAACAGCTTTTATCAGAGGCGGAGTTAAAAATTTGGGGGCCCCAGGTGAACTTGAGTTTGGGGTCCTCACTATAATGCAACATTTTGTTTTGTTTTGTTTAGTTTTTGGCTAACTGAGCTGCAGGCTGACCACGGCAAATGTGAGGATTTCAAAAGTTAATTTTAAAGCACTAATTAGCACCAAAAGCACATTCTTTCACACGACACAGATCTGCCCCAGGAGCCCGATGTGCTGATGGTAAACTCACAAGTACAACAACAGATGCGACGCACGCTCACGTAGAGCGGCAAAAAAAACAACTTTCCGGTTCTATGCGATTCACGTAAATGCCCCAATTGACCAAGAAAAAGGCGATTGAAGCCAAAAGGTGACAAGTCTGCACCAGTGACAGTTCTGAAAAAAGAACCCAAGAAGTTAAAGTACAACAAATTATCGTCTTTGATTTATCTTCTCATAGGCGAGTTTCAGCTGACGTCATTGTTATTAAAAGCCCGCGTTGCTGCTGGGAAATATTTTGGTCGGAGGCAAGAAACACGATAGCGTCAAACACAGTGCGTAACCTCGCGTATTTATCCCCGATAATGGTAAATTCTTGCTGCATTATCAGATGCACAAATAGAAGCACGGAAGAAGGAAAATGTCTTTTTCGTATTCTGAGTGAAAAGAACCGCTAACGGTGAATTAAACGACTTTCAAACATCCGCAGAGCAAACGTAGAAGATCCTAACAAACCGTGGACTCCAACAAGTTCAACAACACATCGAGACTCTTGGAGGTTTTCATCTTTTCTGCTGTGAATGGCCCAGGAGTTTCCACCAAGTCATTGTGGATATCGCCCAAGTGAATATTTGTCCAGGTAGTTGGCGATTCTGACCAGAAATTTGGTTTGGTTCCACCTTTTGTCGGGGTTGAAAAGGGTGATTTGTCGTCCATCGATGCTTATGACCAATTTCTGGTCAAATGGTCTTGGGTCCTCTGCCGTTAGAGTGGATAAATAACCGGGATCAATACCCTTTACGTGCTTTCTCGCTCCGTCCGTCATGTTGAATTAGTGTTTCTTGCCACTGACCAAAATAATTCCCAGCATGCAACGCACGCTTTTGTCAACAATGAAACTCGCCTATTAGTTCTGAGATACTTCATTCTCTTCTAGAGGTCGTTTATTTTAAACGATCTTGCTGCATGGACAGATCATTTCACCACTTTTAAGTCATTTTCTGATAGATTTAAGTGTTTATATGTTAAATTTTGGCCAAGCTTTTTCACAGTGAAAACAAAGTGAAGCACTTCCTGTATTACCACATAACATCACAAGGTGGAACAGAGTGTTTTCAGTTTAAGACACAATCACAACCTAAATACACAAGGTTTATGTGTTAAACATGTGTGAAAGAAACAAAACACAAACACAAACGGGTCTGTTTGTCACGAGGAAACAAGGTTAGAACATGTACATTTAATCTACACAATTAAAGTTGCTGTCCCTGGTTTGTATTTATTTATTTGAGTAGTTCAGTCTTTTTTCTTTTTTTTTTACCTCTACAAAAGGCTACTTCTGGTTTGATCCTCCCTCCAGTCTGTGCTATTATTGTGTCATTGGGCAAGACACTTCAGACCAATTCGTGTACGCTGATGTGAATTTACAATTATTATTATTATTATTATTATGTTTATTTATTTCGGACAGTAATACATAGAACATAAATTAAAAAAAACAAAACAAAACTAAATAATAAAAAAGACAAAAACGTAAATACATAGATATAACACAAAAAGTAACTATTTCTATTCTATAATAACAGGCAAAATAAATGTTACGCAGAATTTTCCTTGTGTCCGAAAAAGGAGTGGGAGGAAGTAAATATTTATTTAACCCCACCCCTTTTTTCTACAGTCCCAAATTAACGAAGAACAAATACAGACTTCTCATTTCCTGTACATTATAAGCAATAATTGCACAGTACCTCCATTGCATTACAATCTAACAGACAACAACAAATATATGTATATTATGTACACAGATATAGTACACATCATATACACAGATATAATATATACATACCTACATACACATCACATACCCATGCATACCTATATATATATATATATATATACATATATACATACACATACATATACATGCACACATATACCCTAAGCACTCATTTCTTCCGCACAGTATTTTGAAATAATTAATTTTTTAATTGCCCTTTTGAATACATGTATATTCGAACAAAGTTTTAATTCTATTTTCAAGTTGTTCCATAATTTCACACCACAAACAGAGACACAAAAACTTTTTCTTGTCGTTCGAGCACGAGGCAATTTAAAATTCAAAACGCCTCTTAAGTTATAGTTTGTTTCCCTTTCACAAAAAAGTAGTTGAAGTTGAAGTTTTTTGGTAAGTGCTTATTTTTAGCTTTATACATGACTTGTGCAGTTTGGTACAGAATCAAATCATTCAGTTTGAGTAATTTGGCATGAATAAACAGTGGATTAGTGTGGTCATGAAATTTGACATTATAAATAATTCTTATTGCTTTTTTTTTTGAAGTTTTATCAATGGTTCTATTGCAGTTTTATAGTTATTGCCCCAAATTTCTGCACAGTCTGTTAAATATGGTAAAACCAGTGAACAATAAAGTGTGTGTAGTGCTCTGTGATCAAAAATTACTCTTAAAAGTTTAATTTCTTTCCAAAGTTACTCAAGTAAATGTAAATTCAAGGCAAAACAAAGACTGTGTGGAAAAGCGAGTGGACCCTACACCAGAAAAGTGACATAGTGAAGCTTTAACTATTACAGTAAATGGACTCTGCGTGTAAGATCAAGCAGCTGAAGTAAAAGCCAAGAGTTATTTTCAGATACCTGGTTTCGTAACCTTTGATCTTTATGGTTTGCGCTGGTTTGTTGACGTGATAAGACTTTTATGAAACTTACGGAAAGGCCCTAAACACAGTCACACAGAGTCAATATAGATAAACAACAATGGACTTGAGAAACTTTACTTTACTTTTCTAGCAGCGTTTACTCTATTTACATTGACTCCACAACGGAAATGACCACGGGACTCGATTTTAATGCAAACGCCACAACAAATACAAACGCCAAAACACAAACGCAAAAGCCACAACACATTAAAAACCCACAACACATTAAAAAGCCACAACACAAACGCAAAAGCCACAACACATTAAAAAGCCACAACATATTAAAAAGCCACAACACAAACGCAAAAGCCACAACACACCAAAAAGCCACAACACATCATAAAGCCGCAACACATTAAAAAGCCGCAACACACCAAAAAGCCGCAACACACCAAAAAGCCACAACACATCAAAAATCCACAACACATCATAAAGCCACAACACATTAAAAAGCCGCAACACACCAAAAAGCCACAACACATCAAAAAGCCACAACACATTAAAAAGCCACAACACATCAAAAAAGCCACAACACATCAAAAAGCCACAACACATTAAAAAGCCACAACACATTAAAAAGCCACAACACATCAAAAAGCCACAACACACCAAAAAAGCCACAACACATTAAAAAGCCACAACACATTAAAAAGCCACAACACACCAAAAAAGCCACAACACATTAAAAAGCCACAACGGAAGTGACCGCGGGACTCTATTTTCCGACGGACCGATCAAGCGGCAAGTGAAGAAGAAGAACTACAACGTGAAACGAATAATGATAAAACAATAAATTACTTTTACTTACGTTTCCAACTTCTCTGTTCCTTTACTTTTCACGTATTATTTATTACTGGTTTTATTATTTTAAGACTAGTATTGTTTTAGTAGTTTATTTGATCATCTTATTATTGGACTGGATTGGATCACAAGGTTGAACAGAGCATTTTGAGTTTTGCAGACGTAGACAGACTAAATAATAAAGAGTTACTCAAACGTGTGAATGAAAGTCAACGTTGGGCAATACGGGACCTTTAAATGACATTTCACTCTGAACTAATTCCCCATTTATTCCGATAAGAGCGCAGTCACTTCCTCGTTTGTGAGAAAAACATTCAACCAAGCAGAACAACCAAAGTGAAAAATCACACACAGTTGTTGTTGTTGTCGTCCTGTAACAAAGGCATTTCACTGCTGCTGATATCGTGGTTTTAAGGAATTTGTATGAAGAAAAACGAAAAACCCACCACTTCAATCCAGGTTAAAAAAGCATTGTGACACGTTTTACTCACATTTGTACACAGTCAAGTATAATTTTTTTTCCCTGTAATGACACATCACTGCATTACAGAAAAAAGCAACACATTACAGTAACTTGTTACTTTTATAATGCATTACTCCCAACACTGATCGTTAAAGTCCTCACAATTAGGCCTTTAATGATAATCAATAAATCAATTAATGGTACGATAACTTTTAACCAGCTCGATAACTTTTCCAGCCGCGATAAATTCTATTTGCAGCTCCTTTGTTTTCCTCGCTCTCTCTCGCTCTCAAAGAGACTGAATGTTAGAAGGGTCCAGTCAAGTGGTAACGGAGGGAAACAGGGGCAGATTTTTGACATTCAAATGTCTCTTATTCAGAAACTAGAGGAACTATTGAAATAAGTAAAGTATCAGAATGTAGGAAAGAG